CAGGAATATTAGAGTACAAGGAAAGTAAATTCAGAGACAGAGTTCTTTGTATAAACCCATGTCCTTTAACAGAAACATCAAGGTGGTCTTGCATTTAATCTTAACCAACAGTTCATCTCACAGCATGAGGATAATATAGTGCAAAAGCTGTTTGTGTACTCAGACATATTTTTCAGAAGTATATTCCAAATGATCCAGATGATGAGACATAACTAAAAATACAGGGCAGGAGAAGAGATAAAGCATCTCCCTCAAGCAGATGCACACAGGGAAGGAGAATACCTAGACCAAAGAAGGGATACTGTAAGAAGCATAGCTTAAAGTTAGCTCTCTGTGAACAGCAACTGCTCCCCATGAAACAGAACCTGTGAGCTGAGCCAAGCCAGTCAACAGAACAACTCAGGCTGGATTGGCTCATCCCCTGCCAGCGGCAGGGTTTTGCATTCACACTCATCACTCAGCTTCAGCAAAACCACTCTTCTGGGCATCGGCAGTGACAAGAAACACGGCTACTTTTCCTCCCTTTACCCAAGGGTGTCACTCACCACAGGCCTGTAAGACGGATAGATCTCTCCAAGACCAAACATGATCAGCATGGTACTCAAAAAGACAAGGAAGTGCTTGCGCATGGTGTGCCAGGGAACTGGAGTGGGGGACGTATCAACGCGGTTCCGAATATACATGTCAAAGTCCCAGTGCATCTAAAGAACAAAGGAAAACGGCTGCACATTTACCAACAGTGCTCAAGCTGCTTTTATCAAGGGAAGAAGTGCTTTACAGCATTCACAAAGCTGCCAGAAGCTGTTTCATCTCCACCTCGCAAGTGGAGATAGAGCCACAGAGGAGATAAGTGATCTACCTACAGTCACAGCAAGTTGTCACTTACTGTAAAACTCATGACTCCAAATTCCATCCTATGCTTATACCAGGCAATATGCTTTATTATAGGATAGCAACAGCTTTTATTTATATACATAAATCACACCATCTTAGATTTGTTCCCCAACACTGTTGAAAAGGCATGGTATAAATCGGTACCCTCATTTACGGAAGTTCAGTCACATACCCAAACAGAAGTAGCAGTGTTATTTCAAACAAAGAAAAAACCACCTGCCACTTGGAAGCTGGTTCCTCAAAACAGGTAGAGCACCTGCCGCTGTTACTCTATGACAAGAGCAGGGCTGGTAACAAGCTAATGCCCTTCCTGGTTGAAGCAGAAGGGCATTTAAGCTTCTGCCTTGAAGCATACATAGGGAAGTCCCAAGTATGCTCTGCCTATAGTCTCCTTTCACATTAATGAAAGCAGATAACTCATTAATTTGCAACCTAACTACTGCCGCTAGCTCCCCAGCTTTCCCCTTTGCACACAGAGCCATTTGCTATCAAACCCAGAGAGTCAGACTGAGCAGAATTCAGTTGCCTAAACAGAGGCATCTGTTCACAGTGGAATGCACCAGTATATTCCACTTGGTCCCCCACTGCCAACCCCACATGTAAGGGTATCCATACAAGCCTTCCTGTACCAAGCACCACAACAACACAGAATCACCACGGGTTTTTTCATGTGCTTCTACAGTCATTACAACACGCACTTTACTGTGATACACATGCTATGATGCTCTGGCATGTTTATACTATGATATATCGCACACACATGCCTACATAATCTCTACTTTTAGTAAGGAGAGCTCAAGCCAATTACCAAGTTCAGTAATCACAGCTAGATTGCAGTTATTCACAGAAAGACCATGCACTAACTAACTGAAAAGTTACTCCCAACAAGAAGTCTAAGGAACTTAGATTTTGAAAGTTAACACAGATGCTCTATTCATCCATTTCTCTTAAGGATATCTTGCAAACTTTCTTCAGAGAAAACCTCCTCATTTGTATTCTATCCCAAAACAACCCTGGAGTAATAAAGCGGCAATAGCTACTTCCGTCGTACTAAAAGGACTTTACTCAAACAATGGCTTCTTTGCTAAATGATTCTGAACTGAGCTCTCATAGAGTCAGATCAGGCAAAGAAAATGGATGAGACTTTCCTATTCCTACAGAGAAACTTAAGTTTGTAATAAGATGTTAACATTCCTCAGCACTTTCAAAATATTTACCCTGATGGCCATAGCCTAAGTTTCCCTCCAACTGACTGTCCCTGCTTGTGTAGGCAACACACACCTGCACTTGGGGATGCAATTACACAAAGAATTAAACAGAAAGCACTACCAAGATGTGTATGTTAGTATTTAGCAACAGTAGCCTTGTAATCACAATGAAAAGTGCTACTAGCATTCCTACCGGCTCTCCCCAGTTATGCCTTATGTCTGGCTGGTCCCACTGGTACCAGGGGTCTCTCTCATGAAGAGACTTATCAGGGAGCTTGGGGTAGTCACCATACCTGTGAGAAACAGACAAAAACCCAAACATACCAGAAATCTGTATTAATTTAGATACATTTTGTAGGAGACAAAAATGTAGTATAGGATAGGCCTATGGAAATGGAAGACTTAAACATCACTTTGTTTTTACAGCTCCTATGTATATACATTTTTTAAATGCATACACGCAACTAGCACAACAATCATCACCTTTATACCAGTCATTGTAACAAATAGCATTCTTCAAAGTGGCCTTTTTGGGCTATACTAGCTGGAAGAAAATGCAAGCTTAACTGAAACACAGAACCTTAGTTGTCTAGCATTTTACGCATGTCAAAATACTCCCCAACATTTAAACATCTCCTGACATCTTTATTCCAGAGATGGCTTTCCGTTCATCCCTCTTAGCCTTGCATTACAACAGCATATGAAGTCTCTCATACAGTATTTGATTCACACAGGCCTCCAACTCATTCCATTTGTTCCTGCTTTAAAACACGGATGTACGCCTTCAAAGCTCTACGCTCACAGCACAGCATCTCCAGGCGTTCAACAGAGACTACCGGCCTGCAGCTCCTCCCCGCAAAGGGCCTGCTCCCCGGCTGCAGGGGCACGGGACGCCGCCACTCACCCAAAGCCGTCGTCGGCGTAGGGCTCGTAGTCTTCCACCCGCATGTTGTACTTCCTTGCAGCAGCTGCCCGCTCCTCCGGTGTCCGGGGGTACGGCCCGGGCATCAGGTCCTTGGACAGCTCCGAGGCT